TGTGGAGGCCACACATAGGTGTTCTGGTGGCCAGCCTCAGTGAGGTCTATCTGACAGCCAGCGTCAACAACTGGACATACAAGTCCAGCCCTGGCTGTAGACTGACCTTTACCTACGTGGTGGGCTCCAAGAGAACAGTACCTAAATGAGCAGATCAACACCCAGACCAAGACAGAATGTGAAAATGCCCACTTCTATACCAAATTACATGATAACAGATAACTAGAAAGTAGGCAGACATGCACACAAACAAGTGCATATACACACACGTACATTTGGTGCATACTCGCTCACCCAAATACAAACACAGGTATTCAACCAGATGGGGTGGGGAACGTGATCTACAATATACCAAAATGTTACTCCAAGTTAGTCCAGATGGTATGCTTTCTATATTCTACACAGGCACGTATTACTATTTATTGATTGGTCATTTGATTGGCTATAAAGAAAATAGCTATTTTGGACAAACAGATATATATAATGGCAATTCCATACATGTGTATATGGGCGAGTTTGTATTTATACACACACATAAATGCACAAATATGTACATATATGCATATAAATACACACAATAAAAAGGGAATCTGTATTTACTTACTTTTTTCAGGGACTTTGATTAATATACAATAACTAATCAATAGTATTTTCATGTTACTCATTTCAAATAACAAAATACATTCTGAATTTCAGAATTATTTAAATACCTGTAATGCTTGTTTCTGATCCATTCTTTCTTGCCACTCTTTTTCATCTTCTTCTTCTGAACTGAAAGTCAAACACATATTTACAAAACCTAAGATCATTTTGAAGCCTAAAGATTTACTGAGTGCAAGATGCTGCAACATCTTGGGCAACAGCAAATAAGCCACCAAGACCTGGGCGCCAGGGGCCGCCATGTCTGGTGGGGAGCACAGGTAGTCGGCAACCACAACATGACCTCAAGCCTGCTCCGTGAGGGAAGGGCAGGCTGCTGAAGGTGCCCCCAGGAGAGTCATCTCAGTCCCATCTGGGGAGCCGTGAAAACTGTCCACGTCTCCTAAATTACACTGGCTGGATTCAGCCACTAGTAAATGTGGTGTCCAGTTGTGGGGTACAGAGAGATTCATGAAGGAAAGTTTTCCAGACAGAAGAACTAAGCTTTAGAACTATCTAAAAACAAGAGAAAGAAAGCCTGCCTGTGGCCAGTGTGACGACCAGAAGATGAAGCTGGAGCAGTGTGGTTAAGGGTTGACGTTTATCCTCAAGAAATAGACAGAAGTGCTTTAAGTAAGGAAATGACCTGGGCTCAGCCCCTGCTGCCTTGTCTCTTGGGAATGGGGGCTAAGGAGTAAAATAAGCCACAAGACTACTAGTCCTCCACCTACACACCAAACACAGAAGCTGCAGGAGGCGAACAGGCTACCAGAAGAGGAGGGGCTCACAGAGAGCACTGAAAGGCACAGTCCCAGAACACAGGCCAGCAGGACAAGTGATCTGACCTCAGGGCTGAGAAGCGAGCACACCAAAGTGCACAGTGCCCCCTGGACTGAGCAGCAAGGGTGTGACATGTGGTGTCTCAGCACATGGTGAGAGACAAAGCAGTGGCGAGAGCGCATCAAGCAAAGTGTAAGAGAACCAAAATGCTTTCTTCCAACTTATAAATCCAGTGCTAGCAAAGGCTCTTCAGTATGCAAAAGAGCAACAGATCTCCAAAGCACAGAGACAAGTCAGAAAATGACAAACCTGGATTTTGGAACACATTCTGAAGGGTATAGAGAAGGTTCACTAATAAATCCCCACATGCCTTATCATGTAGGTAAAACATAAAGTTTTACTATCTCAATACCACAATCACTGAAGTAATATTCTTAAATAATTAAATACTTACCTATGTTTTTCTTCCTCTTGTAAAGGTGGCAAAACGTAGATGTCATCCTCTCTTCGAACTTGTGTAAGACTGGGTAATGCTTCATTTCTGAAAAGTAAACATAACTCTGTAAACAGAGAACATATAAAAACGTATTTTGAGTTGGTCATCTTCCCACACTGCCCCCCAAGCCTGCTCAAAGGCAGGGGCTCTCCCCCTCCTGGCGGGCTCTCCAGCATGGGGGGGAGCTAAATACAGCCCAGAGGAAAGAAGGAGACTCACAGGGGCTCTTCAGCCTTGGCCACAGCCCACCCACAGTCAGAAGATGGAGCTTTATCAAGAACCAAGTCGGGCTAGGCGGGCAGCTCTGTGACAGAGCACTTGCCCAGCACGTGAGGGGCCTGGAGCTCAACCCCCCCCACCACCACAAAATCAATGAATGAATGAATGAATGAAATGTAAGCCCTGCTGCCCTCCCAGCCCTTGCTCATTAGCAATGCTGATTCTCCTGGAAGGGGAAGGCTCACCAATTCAAACTCTCAGAACCAAGGACATTCTACTTATCCCTCTCATTTCACTCTCTATTTTCTGTTGAGAATTAAAGTTAGAGAATGAGAACCCTAGGAAAGCAATACAAAAGTGAAACATTTTTAATTAATCTCCCAAATCACTGTAATTCCCCTCTTGCCTTTTGCTGCGGAAGGCGGTTTTGATAGCCTGTCTTTTCAAAAATGTTTTCAGAAGCTTCTCTGTAGTTTTTCTGGAGTCACTGGTGGCCAAATCCTTCCTCTGCCTTCTTTTTGCCTATGAAAAGCAAGGACATAAGATTCGACACAGAGTTATCAGTCTATTAAGAACATTTCTGTGATTTTTTTTTCCCCATAAAATTTGGCTTGTCTGAGTTTTGAGATGACAGCTGTTCCAGTGTCTCCTCCAGTGAGCACCCTCAGGTTTCCGCTACATGAAGGGCACCCAGAGCTTCCACCTATTACTTATATAGTATATTGGGGGAATTATTTGTTACTTTCAGGCTCTTTTAAATGTCTTTTAATATGGCCCAAGAAGCCTAAAACTTGATATGTAATCAAATAATGTTTCCCAAAACGAATGACAACAGGCTGGGGATGTGGCTCAAGCGGTAGCGCGCTCGCCTAGCATGCGTGCGGCTCCGGTTCAATCCTCAGCACCACATGCAAACAAAGATGTTGTGTCTGCCAAGAACTAAGAAAAAAATAAATAAATGTTAAAATTCTCTCTCTCTCTGTCCCCCTCTCTCTCTCACTCTCTCCTTAAATAAATAAATAAATAAATAAAATAAAATGCTGTTATGCCAGAAACAATTTTCGATATTACTTTTTTATAAAAATGCATTACTTGTATGTAACTCTGCCCCTCAACATCCAAGATTCTGTCAGAAGAAATCCTAAAATGTACAGAAACATCTTAAAAGGAAAATCCAACTAGGGATAAATGAAACAATCTCTGTGCTTATGGTTGAAATAGGCAAGAATAGCAAAGATATCCTCTTTTCCTTTCTAATCTTTCCAAAAAAGGACTTGACACAGAGTATGGCAAACTAAAACATTCAGGTCTAGACATGTACACAGAGTTAACAAATGTGCTCAAGCATTATGAATTTATGAATCCTCACTTCTACTCTATATCCTCACTTGGATAATAATTTGTCTGACATGATTATAAACTGATGAGCTGGCATTTTCTACATATAAAAGTCATATAAATTATTATTATTATTATTTGGATTGCTTGAAATTTTTTTAAACTACTTTCAGAACAATAAGGAAAATCATTGTCAATCTTTTACATCAGGCCCAAATTCCTCCCTGGATAATCCACTTCATCACCACCTTCAACCACACCACACTGGGGCCTCCTGAGACCCAACCCACCTCTAAAAGAAGACGTGGTACCAATCTCACTTCCAGGGAAATCTTAAACAGGTTTTCCCTGGTAGCATAGTGGGAATAAATGTGGAATACCTAAACAGATACTCTAAAGATAAAACTCTCAAGTTCAAGAATTCTAGTAGTTCTAGTTAAATTTTATCATCCTACCATGATGTACTATAATAAACTGTCTTTAAAAAAGAAAAACTTGCTTGTTTGTTAAAGATGAATTTTAAAATGTAGTTGAAATTAAACTGGTTATGTGTCAAATTAAGTCTTGGTATTTCTAAAAAGAAAATAAAATTAGAAGATACTTACCAAAGTCTGCTTCTTCAACAGTGGAGCATCCCCATCGAACACAAAAATAGGGCGAATTCGAAAAAATAAGAGTTTGCAGAGCCGATGAAACAAAGTGAGAAGATGGGCATTCTCTATGGCGTTCCCATGGCGATCCCGGGCTCCTTTAAGCGCCTGGTTGAGCCAAATGCTGATATCTGAGAGGATTGTTAAAGGAAAGCGTTCTGGAATGTCCTCCTCATCCTCACAAATTCAGCCTCCTATACCTGGTAATACCAAGCACTGAACACCAAGATCACCACTCATCTGAGATTTTAAAACGCCTGGCTCTACGAGATCTCACAAGAACACTTAACGTTTACTTCGATCTATTACTACATACTTAATTTTTATACCATTCAAAGACAGACATGTTTTTAAAAAAGAGAAATTATATCCTTTCTGATTCAATTATATATGTCAAGATCATTGTACTATCATGTGTAACTAAGTAAAACAAATTAAAAAAAAAGAATTCCATTTCCAGGCACTCATCCTCAGGAAGCATCATGGCTTAACAAGATTCATTTGCAAGGATGCTTGTATATAGCAAGGAAAATGCGAAGAGCAATTCAAAAGCTTTCCAACAGTTTTTTTAAAAAAAAGAGTTCTTTTTAAAATCGTGACATATGGATCTGCTAAAATACCAAGGAGCTCTTAAAAATGGAAACTGAAGAAGCATGTTGAGTGACAAGAAAGACAGTTACAAATACTACTACAGGAAATGTACAGGTAACAAAAATATATGCACTATGATCCCATTTACAATACCTGTAACGTTAAACATAAAAATCTAGAAAGTCACTCACCAAAATATTAAATAGCAGCTATTGTGGCTAAAACCAAGGGTAATTTACTTTTTCTTCTTGGAGATTTCATTTAAATTTTCCAACAAATGTGCCTTTAAAAAAATTTTTTTTTTAGTTGTAGATGAACACAATACTTTTTTTATTTATATGTGATGCTAAGGATCAAACCCAGGGCTTCACACGTTAGGTGAGCGCTCTACCACTGAGCCACAACCCCACCCTCACAAATGCACCTTTGAAAATGCACTTTGTACTTGTCCATAGAGTGGCCCAGCACCCTGCCGGCCGCCTGCCTGCTCTCACTCTCTAGGCCAGCTGTCCACCTCACCATGGAGGAGCCTTCTTTGACCTTTCCTAGGCCTTCTTCCCTCTTGTGTGCACCACTCTGCAGGCCACCTCGGCCACACATCACATGCTACCCACATGCATCTGGCTTTCCTAACCACACACCAGACACCTAGGTGGCACCACTACCTGATGCCTCACAGACATTTCCAGCTGAATTCCATGTGTCCACTGGGCCACTGAGGCCCCTTCCTCGGTGACTGCCACTCCTATTCACCAGAGAGAACTCCAGGTGTCCTCCCAAGTACTCCTCCAACCATTGACAGATTCTACCAATCCCACCTTCTAGTGCACCTTCAAAGTGCATTTGGATCTCAGCAACAACAATTAAAGCCCCCCGAGGCTCCCCATTGCCTTTAGGATCCAAAGTTCTCCCCATGACCTACAAAAGGCCTGAATCTGGCCTCTGCTCATTTCTCCCATCACATTTTAAGCCACTAAGCTCCTTCCTACCTCAAGGGCCTTCTCACATACTCTTTCCTCTTCCTCTGAGTTTCCCCTTCTTGTTTTGTTACCATCTACTGAGGTCTCAGTCTACAAGTCCCCTCCCCAGCCTAGATTAAGACCTCCTGTTACACATCCCTATTTAAAAATGCATTATTATGTGGCAGAAATTCTTCTATGCAGCACTGGACAGTTTCTGCCCTTATGGAGTTTACAATGTAGTGGAGGAAAGCAGAGCCTATGAGCGCCACACTCATCTAAAGCACGCTTCTGTGCACTACACTCCCTTCCACACAGCCTATCAGAGTGACAATAAGAATCTACTATTAAATGAGCTGAGCAGTTTAGTATTTAAGTGAATGTACAGGGCCTAACTTTTACAACCATAAAAAAAAAAAAAAACCTTAGGCTCATCAACAAATTACCTAACTAAATGCTATGCAACAAAACAGCTAGTGCCCAGCACACCATGGTTTTATTTATTCCTGTAACATCAGTGCTGCCGTGGGCTGGGCATACACAAGGCTCTAGGGAGATGCATCAAGTGATACAGTTGTGAAGAAAACAGATGTGGTCCCTATCTCTGAGAAACTTAAATCCAAACAAGGGACACAGACAAATAAATAAATAATGGACATGTAACAACTTGGGTTGTGGGTGAGCACCAAGGAAGAAACAGAGCAGAACAAATGGACACGAGTGACCAGGGCTGAGGGTTAGGATTAGAGAAGGCTTCTGAAGAAGACACAGAGACCTGAACGGAGGAGAGAACAGGCCAAACACAATGCCCTAGGACCAAAGCCACTTAAATACCCAAGGCCCACACGGCAGAAGGGATGGTGGGACTGATGTGCAAGCATCACAAACAGCCACTGGATCTCGCTGGGGAACACGAGAATGAACTCCAGGGAAACCAGTTAAATTAGCTGTGACAGCTCACCGGGACAGCAGGCAGCTGGGGCAGAGACCATGGGAAGTGGTCAGGCCTAGACTCATCTTGGAGGCAGGACTCAGTGATGTCTTAGAGCCACACTGTACTGAATAACTATGTCTGCTTGCTACACTGTTGTACGGAATTACCTGTCTGCATAGTAAGTTTATTCTCAACTTTATGATCAGACAAAATCTAATTTCAGACTATTGACTCTCATTCATGCTCTTAAAACTGGATATGAAGCTTTTGAAATATAGATTACTAAACTCCATATGCCTAAAATACTGAATCATAGAGACTAGATGGGGTTTTTTTGTACTTTTAAATTTATCAAGGATAGTGTCAATCCTCAGCCAGTGTTAAGAGCTTCAGCTGGAAATTCTTAGAGAAGAAATACATAGAATCAGACAAGCTGAAAATATTTGCATAACTTGACTTGTCTAATTTCAGAAAGCTATGTCAGGCAAAATTAAACTTCTCCAAGGAGTAGAAAAGTTAAGATCTATAGCAAATCCCAAAATCATTTCATGTTAAAAACCCAAAGAACCAATAACATTTAAAAAGAACAACAATTTTTAAAATGTCCTTAGTTATAGAGTTAGGTGAGTTAATTTTGAAGTAATCCCAATTAGTATGCATAGCATAGATTGTAGTAACTTCATAATACACTTACATGCACTTTGCAAATATTAAGGTCCACAATAAAAAAGAAAAAAAAATTAAACTGCTGATTGTATATTATTTAACAGCCATTTAAATCACATAAATAAACCAGACATTCAACTATTCAGATGGTTCAAAACCACTTTATTTAGAGACCCAAGAACAAACTACGAACCTGGTATAATTGAGAATAAGTTCTTTATTAACAAAAAATAAATAAAATATATATATCTCAGATGTCTGAATTATTCTGAAGATAAAGAAAAATCAATTATACAAGCTATCAAGTACTGTATATGAGGTTATCATTGTAACTAAGCTGACAGTCCTCTTTAGCTAAATGATTAGTTCTTCAAAAGAGCCTAAAATAAAAATGACTTCATATTCCAAATGGGCCTCTTTGAGCCATCTGCAAACATATAATCTAAATTACATGGTTTACCTTTCCTTCCTTTGATGTCCTACAAAATTAGAAATGTGACCTTGGTGTTTCATATCAGTAGTTCTAGAAAATCTTAATCTTTTAAAAGGATCTAACTATAAAATGACCTAAATCTTTGCTGACGTTTTAAGCAAAAGTGAAAACCATCACTTTTGATGACAGTGAAAACCATCGGTTCATCCACTGACAGGCCATCTTCAGAATGCAATTATACCGAGAGACCACTGGGGGGCAGCAGAGCGCGGCTGCTTTAAAACAAAAAACTTCCTTCTCCCCAACTCCAGGGACCCTGAACCAAAGCTTTTAGGCTGAGCACTAAATGCGGATGTATTTAAATATTATCCACGAGGGAAAACGTGGTAATTATCTCGATATGTTCTTAAAATCATCAGTGTTCCTCTTCACACAATGGCTTCTTCCCGGCCCTCCACGAGGACACTGGTCTGAGGTCTCCGCAGCTCCGGGGAGGGAACAGGGACGGGATCAAGGCCACACTACGGAGCGAACACAGGGCCCAAATCTTAAAACCAGCATCACGTTTTCATAGTGGAAAAAAAAAATTCCAAAGACACGAAATCAGCCAAATATGCACACAAGCCACTGTCCTAACAGGTCAGTCACGGGGAGTGGGGGGGGAAGGATTCTCTGCGCACTTTCCCAAAACTTTCCCAAAGTTGAAACAGGAATTCCTGCTTCCAAAAGCCACGACTTAAGGAGCTGCCGATTCAAAAGAAAAGGGTCAGACCACCTGGTCGCACAAGCCTCCTCCTTAAGTCGCGCGGACGGAACTAGACTCACAAGAGGAGAAGACGCGAAGGGGTGGGGTGCGCCATGCCCACCTCCCACCCACGACACAGAAACTTCCGTGATCTGCAGAAACTTCGCCAAGTTCACCCGCACTTGGCACAAGAGCCACCGAGAGCGAAGGATACCCACAGCGAGGACTTTCCCCTCCAGGGCCTCGGGGCTGACCTGCCGCCCCGAGCACTCCAGCAGCTTCCAGAGCCCCTGGACTCCCATGGGGCAGGCGCGTCCGGGGTCGGCCTTCTACTCCAGCTCTTCTACAAGTCAGGTGACGCCACCTCCCGGAACCCAGGGAGCCAGCTGCCACTCAGGAGCGGAAAACCAGACGAAAGCCCACGTTTCCCGGGGAACTGGCCTGAGAGCGCACCAGAAAGGGGAACCCACGCCAGAACACTTCCTGGCGGCTGACACCTCCTCCCGGAAGAGAGCGGTCGGGGAACGTTTCGCGTTGGCGTAGAGCAGGGCCTTGACTTGTCAGGGCTTTATCCCAAATGTTTGCATTCCGATGGAAGACCGGGGTAGGCGACCAGAGACGACGTGACAAACGACAGAAGGCATAACTCGGATTCTGCTAGCTTTGCTTGGGTGGGTCTGTAATTTCACAAGAAATGGTGCCTTCTCAGCTTCCTTCTCACAGAATGCGTGGGGCGGAAGTCCCGCCCTCGTCCATGACGTCAATTCACTGCGTCCACTGCACTCCGGAAGCGAGGGAGCGTTTCCGCCCCAGTGTTTGGGTCTAGGTGCTCTCTTGGATGCCACGGTCATCAAATGTGGCCACAAAACTGTTTTTGCGGGTGGCGACTTTATGTGATTTTTCAGCACCCGTTTCTCCCCCAGTGAGCCTCCACATTCTGATTGTGCAGAATCCATGTGGTTGTGGTGTTTGGGGGCAGGATTTGTACAATAGCGTGTAGTAACTAGAGAAAAGTAGTAGAGTTCAAAGCTTCACCCAGCGTCTTAAACTTAGAATTCCACTGTTTGTGGCCAGAAATGGCAAGAAATGAATTGGCCGAGTAGCTCCAAGAAAGTCTGGCGCTCCAGCCCTCAGGCCAACATTCAAATCATGACTATACCTCATTAATAAGTTGCTGAGATTGTATTTGTTAAGAATTTTTATCTAAAGATGTACACACAGCATAAAAGTGAAGCTAGATTTACAGATAGGTAGTTAGTGTAGTTAGGTCAATATGGAGAATGAAGGCCATATTGAGAATAGAGTCCAGGAAAAGGGGTATTGAGAATGTCCCCAAGGCCCAGAGCCCATCTCAAGGAAATGTTAATGAAGCAGCTCCCAGCAAACACGGAGATGCTAATCCAAAAGTCCTTCCTACCCATAGTACTTCAGCCCTCCTGTCTCCGGCCTGGGAAAGCTGAAACACCTTAGCTATGAAAAGGGGAAGACATCACCCTTCCACAGATTCCACCTCTTGGGTTCCCTTCTTCCTGCGGGAAGAAGTCTTTTCTGCTGTCCTTTAATAAAGCTTTTATGGGGCTGGGGATGTGGCTCAAGTGGTAGTGCATTCGCCTAGCATGCATGAGGCACTGGGTTCGATTCTCAGCACCACATAAAAATAAAGATATTGTATCCACCAAAAACTTAAAAAATATATATATAAAATAAAAATAAAGCTTTTACTTTACACTCTAAACTTGCCTTGGCGTGCTTCTCTGGTGTTATACTTCAGCACTGGGGAAGCAAGGATTCATCACCAGTAAACAGCGTAACAGAAGCAGCCTTGTAGACTTGGAGAGGATAAAAGGTGATATGTGCAATGCTTTTAGCACTAGCTATCAAGTGAGAGTATTATCGTTCGCATTTGTTCAAATTTAAGTGATGTATTGAGATTCTAATCCAGTGAAAAAAGTTGGTTTAAAAGAGCAGGTAATTTCCTAAAAATATCAGAAACCAGTTTTTAGCAAAACCATTTGTGTTCAAACTTAGTTCATAGTAGCCATGTTAAGTTGACTTACAATTTTCCATCAGGAATAAACTTACAAAGTGCTTTTCACATTTCCTCCGTGGGTAAAGTAGTACCCAGAAATTGTTCAGAGTTTTTTTTTTTTTAACTGAGGGTAGTATAATTACATATTTAATTTTTGCCCCCAAACCACAGAAGACTATTAACTTAATGAAACCAAGAACTATCATACTGACTTTCACCCCCCACTTCTACTCATAGTAGGCATTCATAAATGCTGCCTAAATGACCTCTCAAGTCCCTGGTCTAAAACTCTCCATCCTTGCACCCTGTAGAAAAATATTTCCTAGAGGTCAGGCAAATGTTAGTTCAGATCTCATGTAAGCCATGTAAAAACTGTGATATGGGCTGAATTGTCCTACAAAATACAAATGTTGAAGCCCTAACCTCCAGTACATCAAAATGTAGCACTATTTTAAGATCAGATCTTTAAAGGGTAATTGTTAAAATGAGAGTATTTGGGACTTGGTGGATCACTCAGTGGTAGAGCACTTGCTTAGCAAGTACAAGGCCCTAAGTTTGATCACCAGCATCATTGAAAAATAAGAGGTGAATGAAGCCTTTATGTTAACCCTTATCAAATTTGATGCTCTAGAGGGATACCCTTCACACACACACACACACACACACACACACACACACACACACGAAAAGCCAATGAACACAGTAAGGTGGTGGTCTACAAGTTGAAGAAAGGCTTGAGAAGACACCAAACCTGCCAAGAACTTGTCTTGGACTTCTAGACTCCACAAGCGTGATAAAACAAGTTTCTATTTTTTAAACCACACAATCTGTGGTATTTTTCTATGGTAGCTGTAGCATACCAAGACACTCTGTTGTGCTAGACAGGTTTCTTCACTCATGACCGCCTCAGTTCCTGCCAGCAAAATGGGAGTGCTATAACTTTTTTAGGATAGTTTTGAGATCACAGTTCTAAAGTGAAACGCCTAGGAGGTAATGGCACTCAAACTAGTTTTTGAGCAAATGACTGGCAGGGTGAAAATGCTGCATGTGAAGTTAAATTAAAGAATGTAACAGATCCTGGAGCACCTGATTGAGCTCCTGCAGCGTCTGAGAGAAGGCAAGTTGGGAAGAATTGTAGCTGCTGCATCAGCTTGGCCTAATGATAGGGTGTAGCTCTGTAACAATAGCAGTCTGAAAAGGAATAGTTATAGGATTTGATCTAAATCAGCTTTGTTTCTGGCTAAGAGCTAAATAAAAACAATTAGCCAGTGTGGCCATTTGAGTGCTATAAGTGCTTTTAACATCAAAGCAATGCTCTTGAGTATGAAATGCTTTTGAAGGAATAGCAACTAAGGGACATATATTGGGTTTACAAAGAATTAGTTCTTTCAGATGCTGTTGAAAAGGCTCTCTATAAAGAATCTAAATAGTAAAACAGACATATTTTAGAATAATAATAGTAAGCACTTAAATAGTATTTCCTATCCATAAGGCACTGTTTTAAACATGGCACGTATCAGGTTATTCATTCTTCCAAATCATTATTCCATTTACCAATGAAGAAATAAGCACAAAAAAATTAATCTTAATGTGCCCCAAGGCAATATATCTGGTAAGTGCAAAAACCAGTATGTAAACCTTCATTGCATCTATGGAAACTCATATGAGTTGACCAAGAAATAAAATAGAGTAGGAATGTTACTAGTTTTCAAAGAGAAGTGTACAATAGATCTCCCATTGCCAACAATCTTTGGTAAAACTATGCCACAATACCTAAGCCTCACTGTGCTCCAAATAACTGCCAGACTTGTAAACCAAGTTATTAAGTGATCACATGTATCAAGACTATTATAAAAATTATTGATTAGTATCAGACTGCATAAACTCTAATTTCCTAGGCATCACCTTGTTCTTTAATGTCTTCTTTTACTTTCCATTTTTCTCCTTTCTTCTCCTCTTTGCTCTTTCAACCTACCTCTTCTCTAAAATATTCAGTTGAACTATATGAAAGAGCCTATATTCAACCATGTTTGAAAAATTATACTTTCACTTGGTTCAAGTAATATAAGAATCACATTTTCCATTTTTCTATTATAAAGTCATCTAGACATCTAAAATTATAGTCATCATAATGCATATTATTTCATTGATTACAAAAGTAATAAGATTCAGGATGGTTTCCTATAACACACTAGTTAGGCAGAACAAATTATCATGTACATTAAAGTTATAAGGGTATTCTTTTATCTAAAACAAAAGTTTGATAACACATGATTAAAAGTAGAAAACAAAATTTTATTTGATGAAAACCCTTTAAAAGTTCCAGTATGAAGTAACAAAATCAACAACCTACAAATCTTTCAGTCCTTTGCATTTCAAGCAAAATATTCTCTTCAGAAAAATGACCATTTCATAATATATATCCCTTTCTGTAGGCTAGACATGTGTATGTGGACAAATGGATATAAAATTCAAGAGAAAAAAAATGAAACTATTTTAAAAATAAAAGTCGGAACCCTCTCCTTGAGGTGTATTGCAATGTGGTTACCAACATATCCAGCACCTTGTAATCACCAAGCTACTGTTGTAAGTCCTGGAACAAACCCCTGAAATGAAAGAACAAGAGATCCTAGTTGTTTGTGAGTCACAGGTTGGCAGCAGAAGAACTGACAGCAACTAGAGAGGAGCTCAAATACATGAAATCCACACTTCCAAAATATTTAACTCACTTCAAAAAGATAATTGGATCAAAAAAACAGCTCCGAGTTTAGAATGTGGAGAGTGCCCTCTGAGTGACCTGGGCATTCTTGATGCATCTTCAAAGCCATTATTAACATACGATGCCATTCCAGGGACCAGTCAAGTATCAGAAAATCTCCCTGCAAGGTACCTTGGGTACAGAAACTTCAGATGCCACTGTTCTTCTATTCTATCACTAAGCCAGGTTTATTCTAGACTTACAGAAGTCTTCAAAACCTAAGGTTCTTGTCAATATTTGATACTAACAGTCAGGAAAGTCAAGAAGGAATCAATTCACTAAGTCACCCTTTACACCAATAGAAAAAGACCAGGTTTTTTGAGTCTTTCCTCTTTTGCCTCTTTATTGAGAATCCTGAGACAGTTAATCAGGAGACAAATGAGGCAAGCAAAATACTGCTATTAGTGAAAGAAGTACTGGACTCAAAATAATTTTAAATGAGTTTTAACCATGAGCAAAACCTAGAAATTGGCAGCCCCCATTTTTTAAGGGTAGACAAATGCTTTACGTCTTCATCTTAGGAATAAAACTATCTGTAACAAATTATCTAGGGATCGAGTCATAAATCACTTCATGCTTAAGTATTTCAAATCTTGATGCTGTTAAGTGAATTTGTGTTTCTGTTTAGAAATAGTTGTAAATTTTGGGATTTTATGAAACTTTTTGTCCAGATTGTTTACATACTCTTAATTTTAAAAGGGCAGTAATCTGTGCTTATCTGCTTATACATCTGAAATCGCCCATGATAATCATATATAAGCTTATTTACTAAGAACTACAAGGTTATGCTTTGTACCACAAGACCTGTTCTATTAATGTAGACGTTGCAATCTTCCACTATATTACTGCAGTCCTGTAGGTAAGCTGTGTGGATGACACCATGTGGAGAGCCCAGCAGGGTCACTCATCCCCATCATAGTCGCTGTAGCCCTGGTAGCCACTGTTCCTTCTCTCAT